TTTTTTTAGGTGAATTTTGTGAAAATGTGCAATACGAACATGTGATTCAACCTCGTTAACATCAGTTATGATTTTTCCAATATTGAGAGAAATGAAGATTGCGCCATGAGATGACGTCGATGAGAGAGCGTCTCTGCCACCTGACACTCGGTTGACAAAAAAAAGAAAAAAAACACTCGGTTGACTGTCTTTTTTGGGGGGGGGGCGTCCTTAATTGAACATGATTTCGGGATGGCACTGTGTTTATATAGGAAGTAATAGATTTTTTTTCTCCAAAATACCTTTATTTATCTTCAATTTACATCCATTCTCGAATAGAAATACAGTAATCCCTCGTTTATCGCGATTAATGGGGAACAAAACCATCCGCAATAAACGAAAATCCGCGAAGTAGCGACCCCCTGTATAGGTAGTATGTACATGTGTATGAGTACAAAAAATATTTATAAGGCCAAATTTAATGATATACAGTACAGTACATGCATGTAGAAGTACAGTAAATGTTTGTAGTACAGTACATAACAGTAAGTATCATTCTTTAATTCTATAAAGTAAAGAGTATTAATACAGTACAGTATATATATATACAGTACATGAATAAAGTTAGGTTGCGGAAAATGTGGAGGCTCCTGCAGAAGGCTTGGACGAAGATTTCTGACGGGCGAGGAACATTGTGATGGGTAATTGTTGGCGTTGTTTTTTCTTTTGAGCAAAGATGCTCTTGTATAATGCCATGACCCCCTCAACACAGTTACTGAATGTCATTTATTTCTTTGGCCATTTTTTGAAGTTTGTGCACCACCGAACAGTCTTTGCAGGTTCTGGAGGGTAAGGCCACGCTCTTCGACTTCATCTTCTTCTCTGGCTTGCTCCTCTTCTCCTTCACTCGCCAACTTGGTCATTTCGACGAGGTCCTCGTCTTTTAGAGGCTCTGAGTGGCACTCAATGAGGGTGTCAACTTCCTCTGATGTCATGTCAGAGAACCCTTCAGTTTATAGCGTCCGGGCCAGCTTCACAGCCTTATCTACTGCTGAGCAGTGGACTTCGTCAGGAGTGAAAGAGGGTTTCACTCCTGACGAAGTCCACTGCTCAGCAGTGTGCGACATTAGGCCAGAGTTTTTTCCAACTGCCGTTCAGTGTTTGCTCTTTCATGTCTTTAAAAGCATTCTGAATATTCACCAGGCACGCCGAGATAGAATATTCCCTCCAATAGTACTTGTTACAATCCAAACAAAAGTACTCGAACCTTAATTTCACAAAAGCACTCGATCTTTTTTTTCAGAAGCAGTCGAATCTTTTCTCCAAAGGTGTTCGATTCTTTTCGCAAAAACACCTGCCTGATCCTTTTTACGAGAGATAATATTAAAATAATCTTATTTTATTTGAGGAATTCCACTCCTAAAATAAGATTACAATTGTGCAAGTCACTGTTCATCCAGCCACAAGTTATCTTTTTAGAATATCAACTCAAGACGCAATTCTTACCTTGATTTCAGCCAACAGATAGAAGACCAATTTAGATGATAATTGTCCTCTTACCTTGTCAATCTTGGGCGGCCGACGTTCTATCTGTTGGCCGAAACCTCAGTCCGAAATCACGTCAGGGTCACCAGTTGTTGGGGGACAGAGTCGGCCTTACTCTTCCTCCGCGTGCTTGTTAATTTCGGACTATGAGGATGTTGGTTATTCAAATACAGGCTGGAGCCAATGAACAGTACCTTCGAAGGTTTTATTTGCAGAATATTCTGGGCACCCGCGGTCTACAGACAATGGCTGCGGATCACGAGTGCGAAGGGGTAAGAGATTCACAACACATTTATATCGTCATGGGTGGTACCGAAACTTATGACGTGGCATCGGACTCTGTTTCTCCTAAACTCATCAGCTTGTATTAACTGGTGCTTTCTGAAGCTCTGTGTCTCTCCACATTGTCTCCCTGAAGGAGGAACTGATATCATCAAGTGATTGATGATTCAAGGGTGCAAAGGTCTACTCGCAGGCATGAGGAGAGGAGGCAAGGTGTGTGTTCTCATGCTGACATGGGATAGTTGTACATTATGTTCAAACATGGGCAGAATACACACTTCAATACCCTACATGTTACAATTGTCACACATTTTTATTCTGTCATGTTTTCAAGTCCTAATCAACATTCTAAATCCATTTTCAAGGCACATATTGTGAAAAGAAATTAGATGAACAAAAGATTCGCCTTTTCCTTCTGTTTTCAAACATCCATAGTTCAGTGACAGCAGCACTTCCACAAATTCTTACTGTATGGGAGAAATATTCATAATGTGACATTTTGAATATTTCAAAAAGTGACCAAAACTATGCTGATACTCCAAGTGGTTCAAGAATAGCTAAACATTGACTTTGGGTGCACCTTTCCACAGGTGTTTTCGGTAAAGTTGCCCTCGGTTTAAAGATGACCTGCTTTATTTTGTTTTTAAAATACTTTTCGTGAAGGTGAGACTACTCGTCGGCAGCCACTGTACCTCAGAGACAATGTTCTTAATTCATGTTTAGGTTAGCGCATAGTCTGTTATGTGGCAGAATAAACCACATGACTATGCGGGTAAACAGGTAGTCTACCCTGTTTACCCAGATAATTTGGCCACGGTCTGGCCTGAAAGTTGTGTTCTATTGATATGTTTGAATGTGTTTTGCACTTTAAAAAAAGGTGGGGTGAATGTGGCATGTAACTACAGCCACAGGGTAATGTTACGAAGGCGTAACGTCACGGCCGTAAAGTGGGCGGTTGCCGAAAAGCGTGGATATAAAAAGATGGCTACTGACTATAAACGGCAGGGAGCACAGAGTCAGTTTCCAAGCGTTTTATTAAACATAACAGTGACTGCTACTTCAGTCAACTAAAATACATGTCACATCTACACGTTGAGCAGGAGCTTAGAGTTGCTGTGTCCTGCTTCAAACCTCGCTTCGAAAAGCTGTGCATTGCAAAACGTGCTCATTGTAGCCTTTAATCCAGACATTATCTTTGATTTTAAAAAAATCAGCAAAAATTATATACTTTTGTTTTGCAGGTTAGTTTTTTTTTAATATTGTGTCTCTGAGTTAATGTTGGTGATCAGTTTGAATGCATTATTATTGATTTTAGGTAATTTTATTTTTCATTATTGCATCGTTTGACATGGTCAGTCAAAAAATGCTTCCACTTTCAGGATTTAATTTTATTTTTGAATTTCAGATGCACTTTAAATCTTTTCTATTAGTTAGTAAAGCTATTCTTTGTTGTAAGTTGGTCCATATATCTTTCTTTTTTTATTCTCTTATACGTTAATAAGGATACAGTGTTATGCAGAGGTGTACTTATAACAATTTTATAGACAAATACTATTTATAGTCGCGCGGGGTGGGGCGCGAGATGTTTTCTTCTTCCTAGGGGGGCCATGACAGAAAATAATTGAGAAGCACTACTTTAAAGCAACTTTAGAAGGATTATTTGCAATTATGTACAAAGATGTGTTGCAACTCGGAATGACCCTTGTGAACAACAATCACCATTGGATCTTTGATTGTATTTAACTTTATTTTGTATCTTTTGATGTATTTATTTTTAAAGAAGTACCATATTTTCACCACCACAGAGTGCACTTAAAAATGTTAAATTTTCTTCAAAATGGACGGGGCGGCGCTGAAGAACCGCACAGTTACAAAATATGTGTGCCACAGTTCAAACGAACCAAATAAAGTCTTTTGTTTCCCAAAATAGTAGACACCAGACAAAAACTCAGTAACAAAAATGTTTAATACAAAAACGCACCGACCAAGTAGAAACATAAAGCGCTGGTCAAATAAGGACCAGGAAAAGACAAAAGAAAACGATAACCAAAATCGCTTGCACAAAAGGCAAGGAAGAAAATTAACCCGAGACAGACAAAACGAAATGAAAAGAACCCAATTCATATTAGCTAAGGACAAAGATGAAAACGAAAACTATACTTACTAGTGATGGGTCCAGCAACACCGATGCGTCGACGCACGCGTCGGGCTCACAGAGCAATCCCCGCGTTGGTGAGCATATTGCTTCAAGACTATCACGTGACCAATACATGAACTGCTTCGACTCAGTCCAGGCTGCATCGACACCGCAAAAGCCCGCCAAACTGGGTTTATAAGGTAGTGAGTCGAGCAACGCGATGCCGCCTGCCGAAACAAGCCAGACCTCACCCTCGCTCACTTGTCGAAGTACGTGCATATGGAGCAGCTCCCGGGGATCTCCTGTATTTATTCAAATCTCCTTGTCTCACCAAGTGCCTCTCAGATTATTGACATGTCTTGTTCCATTCTAATTCAAGTCCATTCCAAGGTAACTCTTAGTTTACATTCACATATTTTATTGCAGATGAAATGTCGAATTTGCCATACAGAAATATTCTATACCAACAAAAGCACCTCTGCAACTACATCTGGCATGTTACTCATCATTATTAGTTTGTTTTTGGAAACTGTTCTAAATGCCAATTTTGTTGGGTTTTGTTTTTTTAGATGACCTGTGGCAGCATCTGGATGATGAGGTGGGGAGACTGTGAAGAGCTGCAACAGCAGATGCTATATTTGAGGTCAAGCGATACCTGGCAGAGGGGAAAATTGCACGCAGTCAATACCCGCTGTTATAATCGAAGGACCAACACACTACTTTTCCAAACCTCTGCCACCCCACAAAGCAGTTTCTCTGTACGCCGGCCTCATCTGTGCCATGCAAGCGTGTGCTCTCCACAGCAGGGGAAAAAGCATGCAAGAAACGCAACAGACTAAAATTCTAAACACTAGAGCAACTTATTTTTCTGTAAAAAACTTTGTGAAGACAAAGCCCACAAGCATTCTCATTTACATAATTTTCACATTATTCAAACATATTGAATAATACAATATGAATGCATAGATGTGAATGATATTGTATACACTTTATAATAATAATAATAATAATACATTTTATTTGTGGGCGCCTTTCTAAGAACTCAAGGACACCTTACAACAAGCAGTTAAAATCACAAATACAATGTTAAAAACAACATCAAACAAAATAAGATAAAATAAAACAAAATAAAGATAATGGCTTTATGGTCCGAGTGAATAAGCTTGTCTAAACAGATGTGTTTTGAGGCTGGATTTGAAATGTGTTAATGAGTCTGTATTACGAAGGTCAGCGGGGAGTGTGTTCCAGAGCTGGGGAGCAGAGCGACTGAAGGCTCTGTTTCCCATGGTGACGAGGCGAGCAGGGGGGACAGTGAGGAGGAGAGGGGAGGAAGAACGAAGAGAGCGGACAGGTGTCAGAATATGGATGAGGTCAGATAGGTATGGAGGGGCAAGAACGAAGCGAGCGGACAGGTGTAGGAATATGGATCAGGTCAGATAGGTATGGAGGGGCAAAGTTATGGATGGCTTTGAATGTAAGGAGCAGGATTTTATATTGAATGCGGTGTATAATGGGGAGCCAGTGGAGATGTGGGAGGACTGGTGTAATATGGTTTATGGATGGTGTGAGCGTGATAATGCGAGCGGCTGAATTTTGGACCAGCTGAAGTTTATGGAGGGTTTTTTGAGGGAGACTGAGCAGGAGGGAGGTTACAGTAATCAAGTCACGAGGTGACGAGGGTGTGAACAAGTATAGCAGTGGAGTGAGGGGTGAGAGAAGAGTGGAGCCGGTGGATGTTTCTAAGATGATAATATGCAGAACGAGTGATGTGGTTGATATGTGAGGTGAAGGAGAGGGTGCTATCAAGGATGACACCCAGACTCTTGACCTGAGGGGAGGGAGAGATGGAGGAGCTGTCAAAGGGAATGGAGAAATTGTTTATTTTGTTTAGGGTGGATTTGGTGCCACTGAGGAGGAGTTCAGTTTTATTGCTGTTCAGTTTGAGGTGAACCATGATTTTAATTCCTGCAGACAGTTGGTTAGGGAGGATGGTGGAAGTATGGTATTTGGTTTGGTAGAGATGTAGAGCTGGGTGTCATCCGCGTAGCAGTGAAAGTGAATGGGATGTTTCCTGAAGGTATTACCAAGGGGGAGAAGATAGATTAGAAACAGCAAGGGGCCAAGGACAGAACCCTGAGGAACACCTGAAGTGAGGGTAAAGGGGTGAGATCTAAAACATTTGAGATGGATAAACTGGGTGCGGTCAGAAAGATAGGAGCGGAACCAGGAGAGGGAGGTGCTGGTGATACCAATGGAGGAGAGTCTGTCGAGGAGGATGGAGTGAGAGATGGTGTCAAAGGCTGCGCTGAGGTCAAGCAGGAGGAGGATGGCGAGTGAACCAGAGTCAGCAAAGAGAAGAAGGTCATTGGAGATTTTGAGGAGGGCAGTTTCAGTACTATGGAGGGGACGGAAGCCAGATTGAAATTGTTTGTAGAGGTTATTGGAGGAGAGATGGGTGTGAAGTTGAGCAGCCACTGTTTTTTCTAGAAGTTTGGAAATGAAGGGGAGGTTTGATATGGGATGGAAGTTGTTCAGGTCGGAGGGATTAGAGCCAGGTTTCTTAAGTATGGGATTGACAGCAGCAGTTTTGAGATGGGAGGGTACATTGCCAGTAGAGAGGGAAGTTTGAATAATGTTAGTGATGAGAGGGGATAGAGGCTTTGACTAGAACAGTCGGGAGAGGGTCAAGTTGACAAGTGGAGGTTTTGGACTTCTGAATTAAGATGGAGATTTGGTGGACAGATGGGGAGGTGAATGCAGAGAACAGGTGGGTAGGAACCGGGGAGAATGGAGAAGGAGGGTTGGGAGCAGATGAAGGGGTGAGTTGCTGGTGGATAAGTTGGATTTTGGATGTAAAAAATGAGGCCAGAGTATTACAAAAATCGGTGGAATAAAGATGTGATGGAAGAGTGTCAGCAGGTTTAATGAATTTAGAAATGAGTGAAAAGAGTGTTCTGGGGTTACCTTCATTGGAACTGATTAAACCAGAGTAGTCGATTGATTTGGCTTTGGATATTGAGTCATTGTAATGGAGGAAGTGGGTCGTGAACATTTCTTTATGAATAGCGAGTCCAGTTTTTCTGCATAATCTTTCAAGTTGACGGCCTTTTGATTTAAGTTGTCTGAGGGCAGGGGTAAACCAGGGAGCTGTTTGGTTGAAGGAGACAGTTTGCGTTTTGAGTGGGGCCAAGATATTGAGAATGTTATGGAGGTTTCAATTGTAGCATGTCAAAAACTCATCTGTTGGAGAAAGACAACAGAAGTTATCATCAAATCAGTCAGTTCAGTCTGTCAAGTGGGTTGCCTGCAGGGATTTTTGAAGTCCAGCAGGTGTCAGTGGTCAGTGGCACAGTATCAACACTGTATCAACACAGTGTGTCATTGTATCAACACGCTTCATGACGCCTGTTAAGTCCAATTACCCCATGGGGATGAATAAAGTTTTCTGAATCTGAATCTCATGGACCCAGCACTAAAACTTACGAACAAAGGAACCCGAGAACAAGAGTAAGAGTACTACTAAAGTAAACCAGAGGACCAACAACAAAACCAACAACTTAACGATCCATTTTGTCAACATTGTTCTGTAAATGCAGCACGGTGAGGCGCTTCCCGCACCTTGTTCAAATGGAATGTGGTGGTTTTCCTCACGTTAGCATGCAAACGGTCATTGCTGAGGTGTGTTGTTCACACCAGAGTTTTCCTCATTTGCAGATCAATGGTGAAACGAATCCAGCCAGTTGGCTGCCCTTTGGGCATTGTATGTAGGAAAGCCAAATGGCTTGGCCCTGGGACATTTAGTGTTTTTTAATTTGTGTGTGTGTGTGTGTGTGGGGGAGAAAAAAAAAGGAGGGGGTGACAGATGTTGACACTGGACTGGACTGGTAGATCTCCGGAGGTTGGCTCCTTGAAAAGTAGCCCTTGGGACAAAAAAGGTTGGACACCCCTAATCTCAGGTATTATATGTCCCAGAACAGGGCTCAGCAACCCAAAATGTTGAAAGAGCCATATTGGACCGAAATAACAAATGTGTCTGGAGCCGCAACAAATTAAAAGCCTTCGAACGAAGGCAACACACGCTGTATGTATCTGTATTAGCTACATTAGCCTACTATCAAAATGACTAAGTTGGCTACAAATACACAATGAGCCTTCCTGATTATTATTTTTTTTTCCCCTGTAGTTCATCCTGCAGAGCAGGGGGGCCCAAAAGTTTTTGACCAAAGCTCTATTGTTCGATCAATCAGCCTCCCGCGATCGACCCGTAACCGCACACGCACTCACTTACACACGCATGCCATGATGAGCAACAGCCATAACAGCCTCTGAGATGAACGAGGCACGGGACACACTTTTGCAGCGTGTTAACTTTCGTAGCTGACGTGTACTATTTTAAAATGCTTCTCTCTGTCCTTCAGATTGCTGTTCTTTGTCAGTTCCCTCGGTGAATTGGACATGAAACGCAGTTCCTTCTTTCAACAGCCACCTGCCTGGCATCCCGCCCTGCTAATAGAAATGTGTATCGCAGGGTATGATGCATTTCTTCGTTGACAGAAATATTGAAATGTCATATTTATTCGACACATTTTCACAGCATTGGAAAATGTTAAGAATGTTTGTCCTCTGACAGAAACCATATTCAAACAAAAAATATATTTTCACTCCCCCATCTTTTTCCATTTTCAAACATTTTTAAAAGCTCCAGGGAGCCACTAGGGGGCACTAAAGAGCCGCATGCGGCTCCAGAGCCGCGGGTTGCTGACCTTCGTCCCAGAAGGACAACTAGGCTCCCCACTGCTTGCTCTTTTCGTCGAAAAAATGTTATCCATAGTGCCAAGAGTCCATCTGACTAATTCCATGGTTTGGTTTGTCTTTTTGGAAGAAAAAAGAATAGGGGAGGCTATATCAAGACAGAGGACAGCACATTAGACAAAGTCAGCAAAGCAGAGGAGTAAAGGGAAGGGGCGGGGAGCAGAGCAAAAAGCCTTCGCCGAGAGCCAAACCAGAAATAATGAACTCTAGTATACTGTAATAAACACCGGGCAACACCAAAATAATTAATTTTGGCATTTTATTTCATATATGGAAGAGAATAGTTTGTCTTTACGGGTTCTGAAAGCAGGAGTGAGGACACTTATTGAGACTTACAGTATGATCATGGCATATAAAGTTGCAATGACAGTTTTGTTCAGGAATAGTCTGTGTGGTTTTGGCCCACATGCTACTTCGCCAGTTCCAAAGACACAGAAATTCAATCAAATTTAGCATTCTGTTGTGGTAAATTTCCATGAGGCGTCCTTAGCTGCGCAAGTGCTGGTTTACCTAATGTGGACAGTAGTGTATCTAACTATAGAGCGGTACCTCTACTTACGAAATTAATTGGTTTTTGAAGAAATTTCGTAACTACAAAATTTTCTAAGTAGAGACGCATTTTCCATGTAAATGCCCTAATTCATTCCAAACCCTCCAAAATTCAGATAAAAATGTTTCCTAAAGCATAAATATGCATCAAAATATGTAACAAATACATGTTACAATTAGATCATTGCACAACAAATGAGAGTTGTGCATAATGTAAACAACAAAGTATGTAGTAAAGAATAAAAAAGATGGTCATTTAACTTTTAACTCATTAAATCCCAGCCATTTTCACTGGAGCAACCGCCTCAATCCCAGCGTTTTACTGGATTTTGACAGATCTTGCAAGGTCCACAGAATATTTGGTTCTATTGCTACATAAACATGGAGCCTACCAAAATAAAGTTTGGACTCTCTTCTTTCAGCAGAATTTTTTTTTGTCTTTTTTCCATTCTTCAGCAATCGGCATTACAAAATGGCTAAGTTTCATGAAAATGGCGATTCCTGGGCAAAATACGGAGAGAAAGAGCTTTTTGTAAAAGCATGCATTTCAAGCACGTGAGGCGCCACTGTCACCTACTGGTCGCTTTTTTACATGATTTACAATGCAAACGGCTTATTCTCATTCACGGATTGCATCAGACCCTCCTCCTCTCTATGACGCAAAAAAAGACTTATGCCTCAAGAGGCATAGAATAGACGAGAATGCTGCATGGACACATACCGATCTATCTACACACATAAACACATACGGTCGAATTCCCTTTTAGCCAATGGGATGCCAGGATGATGCATGTTAATAGCCAATGGCAGAGCAGCTATAAGAATGTTGCGTTCAGGAAACTCAGAGCTGCGAGTGGCAGGCCTTACTATATTTTTACCGTTCGTATCTTGAAATTTCTTTCGTAACAAGGGGCAATATTTTCATATTGAGGCATTTCGGAACTTGAAAATTTCAAATGAAGAGACGTTAGTAAGTAGAGGTACCACTGTGGCCAAAACATACAAATCGAGTAATCCTTGATGCTCAGGTTTTCCTCGTCTTGATTCATCATCACAGAGGATATTGGCTCCACAAACTGAAAAACAAATAAAATGTTTGCAATTAGGTGTGACTCGTCAACAATCTATCTAAAAAATGTATTCCTAATAACATACTAAAGGGGACGGAAATGCTGACATTTCAGATGAAATACAATTTTAAAGACTTGGTAAAGTGAATTGAGAGATTTGTTTCTCAATACATTTTACATATTTGAAGACAACTGCAGAAAATGGCAAAAGACTATGTACAAGCACCAATTCCAATGAATTTGGGACAATGCATAAAACGTAACTAAAAACAGAATCAAATGATTTGCAAATATTTCCATCATTTTCTGATCCGCTTTATTCTCACAAGGGTCGTGGGGCGTGCTGTAGCCTATCCCAGCTGTCTTCGGGGAGTAGGTGGGAGACACCCTGAACCGGTTGCCAGCCAACCGGGCGACCACCGGGCCGCCCTTGCAAATATTTTTCAACAATTATTCAGTTGCATTCATTACAAAGACAATATATTTCAATGTTCAAACTGAAAAACAGTTTTTCCAAATATTCATTTTGAATTTGATGACTGCAATACATTCCCAAAAATCTGAGACAAGGGGCATCGTTACCATTGTGTTGTATCAGCTTTCCTTTTAACAACACTTGTGTTTGATGTACAACTTCAGTTGCTTGTCAGTCCAGCATCTCCATTGTCATATTATATTTTGTACTTCATAATGCGGAAGACCGGTCTGGACTGCAGAGGCCAGTCCAGTACTCCTTTTTCCTATGAAGCCATGCTGTTATAACATGTATCTTGGCACTGTTTTGCTCAAATAAGCAGAGATGTCCCTGAAAAATACATTGCTTAGATGGAAGCTGACATTGCTCTAAAACCTGTCTGAACCTTTCAGCGTCAGTGGTGCCTTCACAGATGTGCAAGTTACCCACACCATGGGCACAAACACAACCCCAGCATATCACGGATGCTGGCTTTTGAAATTTGCGCTGATAAAATTCCGGGTGGGCCTTTTCTTGTTCGGCCGGAAAGACATAGCATCCATGATTTCCAAAAACGGTTTGAAATATGGACTCATCAGACCACAGCACAGTTTTCCACTTTGTGTCAGTCCAGCTCCGATGAGTTCAGACAGAGAAGCCGGCGGCGTTTCTAGGTGTTGATATACAGTGTGTTTTTTTTCTTTGCAGTTTTAACTCGCATTTGAAGCGACAAACTGTTATTAACTGGTTATCGGGGCCGATATTTGGCGTTGACCGTCTTTGGCCTTGACCGTCTTTGGCCTTCTTTGATCAATCCAACGGCTGATAAATGAGATCACTAAAAGGGGTATTTTGTCTCTGATAGCCGCAGCAAGACTGTGTGTTACGATTACTTTCCAGCATTGGCCTGTCCACAGCACCATTTGATTGTTGGCGAGTGTCGTGGATAACAACCAATTAGCAAAAAGCAACATATTGCTCTGCCTTTGAAGACTCATGCATGGGGAGATACCGACAGTCTTGGGAGCAAATATCGTATGCTACAAAGATAATTTGTACTCTTGTATAACTCACAACATCTTGTAACATTACAATAAGTCCATCCTCCATTCTTTATATGAACCGCTTATCCTCACGAGGATAAAATAACCTGTAGTTTATCTCAGCTGTCTTCGGGCAGCAGGCAGGTTACATCTTGAACTGGTTGCCAGCCAATCGCAGAGAACACATTGACAAACAAACATTCATACTCAAAATCACATACTGGGACTATTTAGTGCTCAATTAACCGACAGTACATGTTTTTGGAATGTGGGAGGAAAATTGAGTACCCGGAGAAAAGCCACACAGTCACGGGGAAAACATCCAAACTCCACACAGGAAAGCCAGGGCCCAGAATCAAACTCATGACCTCTGTGCCATGAAGCAGACACGCTAACCAGTCGACCGCTGTGCCGCCCACAATGAAATAATTAACATTAAATAAATAAATGCGACAGCTCTGCTCGCTTAAAGACATTACACCCCAATCACGATGATGAGCCGCTTGAGGTTTTTTTTCAGCGAAAAAGTGCCGAACATTGCCAACAATCATCCCGCTTTGTGACTGCTATTCGTAGCCACAAATCCAGCACAAATTATTTTATATACTTTTGTTTTGCTAGTTAAAGTTGTTTTAATATTGTGCTCCTGAGAAAATGTTGGTGATTAGTTTGAATGCATTATTAGTTATTGATTTTATGTGATTTTATTTTTCAGTATCGTATGGTTTGACATGGTCAGTCAAAAAATATTTACAGTTAAATTAAGGATTTAATTTTATTTTTGAATTTCAGATGTACTTTTAATCTTTCCTCTTACAGTTACTACAGCTAGTCTTTGTTGTAAGTTGCTCCATATTTCTTTCTTTTTTATTCTCTTATATGTTAATAAATATACAGTGTTATGAAAAGGTGTACTTATAACAATTTCACAGACAAATAATACTGGGGGGGGGGGTGCGAGATGTTTTCCTCTTCCTAGGGGGGGCATGACAGAAAATAATTGAGAATCACTGACTGAAAGCAACTGTACTTTGTCATGTGTAAAGCAGTTATTTTGTGTATTGCATGCACTGTATAAACAAAGCTGTCTCCCGCCACTAATAGGCAATGGGGAGGCCTTAGCCTGCAAGCAAACTTACTTCCCATTGTAGCATGCAGGCTAACACCCAATTAGCCGCCAATTTACTACATAATTCACATGGCTCCAGCGAGGTTAAACCATTTGAAATAAGGTTGCTGATAATATTGATAGGGAAATAGTGATAAAAGAAGTGTGTGTGTTTGTGAACCTTGTCGTACGCTATTGCAGAAAAGTAAAGAAAAACATTGCAAAGTTTGAGTCAGGTCTTCTCTGGGCACGACCCAGGGCACGCTGGAGAGACTTTCTCCCAGCTGGCCTGGGAATGCCTCAGGATCCCCCGGGAAGTGCTGGAACAAGTAGCTGGGAAGCGGGAAGTCTGGGCTTCTCTGCTAAACCTGTTGCCCCTTGCAACCCGACCCTGGATAAGCAGTGGAAAATGGATGGATGGATGGATGAAAAACAAGTGCTGGAGTTTTTATTACCGTATTTTCCGCACGAAAAGACGCACTGGATTATGAGGCGCACCTTCAATGAATGGCTGTTTTGTAAATTTTTTTCATATATTAGACGCCTCGCACTAAAAGGCGCAATCTACGATGCGTCCACTAGATGGCGCTATGCTCCTTCCATTCAACTCGAGAGGCGTTCATCACCGCCTCCGAAAAATGTAAATTAACTATTACTGTACTTAAATGAAACTAGGAAAATTGAAAATAATGCATCAAAACAGAAAATCAATCGAGGAAATCACAAAATAAATTCTATATCCCCCCCACAGAATTTATTTTGTGATTTCCTCGCTTGATTTTCTTCGTGGTTTCATTGAAGTAAGAATTCATTTACGTTCTTCGGAGGCGGCCACGAACGCCTCTCGAGTGGAACGTAAGAAAGCACGGAGACGGACAAAGACGTACAGTACCTGTACTTGCTGAGAATGTGAAAACAATAAAGTCTGCGTTAAAAAAAAATAATACAACCACAACCACAGCTCTCATTTTTTCAACAAACTCAGGTGTGTCTTTGTCCCTCTCCTTCCCTTCTTTTCTTCCGGTCAACTCGAGAGGCATTTCCTTTATCATAGCTCCAAGAGTACAATCAGATAGGATAAAATAAGTATGAGAGGAAGAAGTAGAAGAACAAAATACTGTAAATAGGAGCTGCTGGAAAGGCAGCCATTCTAGCGGCGCCATCTTGAAGTCAAAATAACACAACAAGATGTCAGTCGTCGTTATTTATTCCTTTGTTGTGTATTCAGAAATGATGAAATCACAATATAAATTCTGTAGGGGTGGCTATAGAATTTATTTTGTGATATCCTCGCTTTCTTTTCAGTTTTGATGTATTATTTTCAAATTTGTAGTTTCATTGAAGTAATCGTTAGTTTACGTTTTTCGGTGGCGGTCTTGAACGCCTCTCGAGTCGAACGGAAGAAAGCACGGAGATAGACAAAGATGTACCTGTATTTGTTGAGACTGTTTTAAAAAATTAACACCACAGCTCTCCTTTTTTCGGAGCTGCAACACATACTTATTTAATAAAGCAGCGACACAGTTCACTGAACCAACAGCAAGTTATAACATTGGAAGCATGTCTCCAGGAAGGAGCCATCTTGGAGTCGACGTATTACCGTAATGACCATACAAAAGACGCACCGGATTTTAAGGCACTCGGTGAGCTTTTAAGAAAATGTAAGACTTTTTGGTGCGCCCAATAGTGCAGAAAATACGGTATTCAAAAGTTTACACCATTGTTTTCCCTTTTTTTCTGCAAATGAATATGTGCTTCAAATATTTGCTGTTGGCCTACTTGACTACAAATAAGCATCAGTATAAGAAACACACATACGGCTGTTAGGTTTAGCATATGTCTCCATAATACTTTTTTGTACGTCATGGGCTGGTATGTGCCTCCCAATTTTCGTGGATCTAGGTGAAATGTACCCTGTCATGAGTTTTTAATGACACCCTCCTGGCAAATGACACAGCAGATGTGTGCTTGGTTTCCCTGATAGCAAGTTTAAAATATAAAAAATTTCACTAGGTTTGATGTCTGTGAAAAGTTTGATGAGGTTGTGTTCATGTTTGGTTCCTCAAAATTGTGAATCATTATGGAGGATTATAATAATAAATGAGAACAATTCCTACAAAAACAATAGAGACCTCGACATGGTTGCTGCTCAGGCCCTATGCATCCATGCATCCATTTTCTGAACAGCTTTATCCTCACAAGGTCGGAGGGGGTGCTGGAGCCTATCCCAGCTGTCTTCGGGCAGGAGGCGGGGACACCCTGAACTGGTTGCCAGCCAATCGCAGGGAACACAGAGACGAACAACCATCCACGCTCACACTCATACCTAGGGACAATTTAGAGTGTTCAATCAGCCTGCCATGCATGTTTTTGGAATGTGGGAGGAAACCGGAGTACCCGGTGAAAACCCATGCAGGCCCATGAGTTGTTTAACACATTTAGATGTAAATACCATGAAATACAAGCTGGAATTCTTTTTCTCATATTAATTTTTCGATCTGAAACCCAAATGTCTTCAGTATACTTGAACAACAAAAAAAAAAACAAAAGAATTGACCTTGCCGTTCCAATACTTTTGGTGGAGACGGTACATGGAGAAAACCTGCACACTCCATTCAAGAACACGTGTCAAGATTGGAACACCAAAGCTCAGAACTGAGCCGCAGACCTGATAACCACTTGACGACCACACAACTATTATTAAATCTTCAGAAAATAATTGTTCAACATATCAAAAAGTGTGTTTCAAGGTGACAGTGAAGAATGGTCACACAAAAAAAAAACTATCTTTGACAGAGGTGGGCATTCCATCAGTACTGATGGAAGGTCCGTCAGTCCGTCACAGACGATGACAAATGAGGAAGAAAGAAAAAGTGTTTTTTCATCCCTCAATGTAAACGTCACAATCGGGGTCAAACACCAACGAACCTCTCAGCCAGAAAGGACTGACAATATATTTGTGAGAGTCAGCGAGAGTGAGTGCTCCTATTTTCAATAGGCTCTCTGCGGAGACTGGGGCCTTCGGCTGTGACTGGCTGTCTTGGCAGAACCAGCACATAAGGACACGAGACTCTGGCAGCGGCCACCATTTCTCAGCCCATCAGTACTGACGGAATGTCCACCACTGCAACTAGTCAATGAGCTCAGATATAGCTTTGAATACTAAAGACGTTTTTACAGATAAGTTTGTGTGAATTAAGTTTTCCATTTCTAATTTCATTTTTGGAAAGTCAATTTAAACTGGTTGTGAAATAGTATGAACCAGCCCACACTTACTTTCAGAAGGCGGCGGTATTGGTAGAAGGAGGAGTCAAAGAAGTCATAGAAATTTGGTTTTGGTTTCCACAAGGATTTCAGAAGCACATTAATTCACCAGCATTGTACCCTTGGCTACAACACGACAGAATTACAGTGAAGGTAAAGCAGACTGTAAAGTAAAACTTGGCATTGTTTGGAGTTAAAACAGCGGCAGGCATCCACCAGCGTACTCCGCTGTACTTAACAGTTAAAAAAAAAAGAAATGCTGACATGCATATGTGTGTGTGTCTGTGTATGTGCGTGCGTGCATGTGTAAAGGTTTTTAGTCATGCACTGTATGATACATATACACTGATATATCGTGCACTCAATTTACCATCTATTGCAGGGGTGTCAAACTAATTCTTGTCGCGGGCCACTTTGGAGTTGCATCTTCCCTCGGAGGGCCGTTAAAACAGTGAAACCGAATAAATGTGTTATCATCACATCGTATTATTACTTGTACACATAAAAATAATGGCTCACTAGTTTTGAAATCAGTCAAGTACTTCAAGTTCAATTATCAGTGATGGCAATGGCGAGTGATGAAAAAAGCGGAAAGGGGCGTGGCCTGGACGCGGCGTGGCCTGGGCGGGGCCTGGGCGGGGGCGTGGTTACTTACAAAAGTGGCACTAAACATGCTGAAGATGAAGTGTATTGAATTTACACACTACAGTAAATATTCTCTAGTGCGGACTCGTGTTTGCGCTGTCCAATTTGTCCTGATAACAGAAATTCCGCATTTGGGAAATGAGCACGGTACATGTCCTTTATGAACCTGCAAGTATGTTGACAAAATGCACGTGTAACAACACAATCAATAAAATACAAAAATATACTGTCCAAAAACTGTTTATATAACAAAAACTGCAATACAGGTGTATCCAAAAAAAATCACAACAGTAAAATACG